CACAGATTGATGGGTGATGTTCTTGATAAGAGTAGCTCATTTGGTTCAACTGAAGAATAACACGTTGGTCGTCAATGAAGCGAGGAAGTTTCGAGCTCGTAAGCAAGGAATATGCACGATTAAGCATTCTGATGGACAATATTTCAGCAACTCACCTTGAGTAGGTATCGAGAATGCTACTGGAAGGAAGAAGGCCTTTTCTGTGGAGTAAGTTATTGAAAAATGCCAACTGAACAGTTACGGACTATTGGACAGGGATGCAAAACTCTCATATGCATTTTGTTTGCGAAAACTGAACATCCATCTTCTCCTTCCTGAACTTTCCTGGGCTGTTGCTCAAATCCAAGCAAATGCTACAAAGCAACCCCACAAATTCCACAATGGATCTCACATTTCCAGAGACGCAAAGCGGATTTACGAGAAAACATACTACCCGCATGCCTCCTCCATCAGTAGTATTACCGTTACACCACTACTTTACCGCAAACTCTGTACAGTAGTGTGAAGCAAACTTGCTGATAGCAACTGCTCTAACCATAGAAGAGGCCTCACGACTTGAATTTGAATGTCCTGCATTACCGAAATAATGCGCGAACAGTATGAACCATCACTGGCTGAAGGGAGTGTACATGAAGCACACTGAACTAAGAAGAAGACCGTACATTGTGGAACTCGAAACCGAAGTGAGTGGTGTTCATTAAGGGTGGAAAGTTCAACCTAGACGGACCAGAAAGATAGCATACCAGGGGAATTCCCTCATAATAGGGATTTTATTTGTGTGGCAGATAAACCACACAAATGAGTTAAACTAGATGAATGAGTCACTGTCAACTCTTACATCACGATAATTTTCATCCTCACTTGTTTCCGTTTTTTTTCGAAAATGGGGAGCAAAAAAAGTGATGTACTCATTTGCAAACAAATTCGTTTTTTCGAGGGACTCATCTGAAACCCACCTGAATCTCTCGTTTACAGTGTTTCTAGGAGAAAAATTTCAGCAACCTCATGAGTAGTGTATTACGTTTACAAAGAACAAGTGATGTTTCAATCTGGAGTCATCACCGTCAAACTGAGACAGTCGTCATTTTTTAAAATATATAATTCTCAGGTTACCCAGCATGCAGATAATGCCTACTCCAAAATACCTACGATATTATAGATAGCCTTAGACAGGGTTGTGGACTCAAGGATGGAAGCAAAAACACTCGTCTTGGTTGTAAATGATGTTGAATAATGCATTTTCTGGGGCAAGCTGGTTTCAGCCCCTAGCTTGGACTAGCCCTGATAGTCTTTGCAGCCGTGTCTTGAGACTTCATCACACGATAAGTCGAAATTCTCCAGAAAATTTGCGATGATATGAGTTGAGGAGAGGCACAGAAGACAAATCGCCTCAATCGTCTTCAGCAGACAACAATATGGATTCAGCGGGAACATACAACGGAGGTGGAATGCATGCATAGTTAAACAGGCTGAAAAATGTGGAAAACAATGTTGACGAAACAGTCACATGAAACTCAAACAATGTACGTGAATCGTAACCGTAACGATCTGTCAGCTGTTCTGGTTAAAGTGTGGCTGGCGCTTTGTGACAATGCGTTCTGGCGGAAAGTAGTCTTGCGTCACCAACTGGAGTCCCAATCACATGTCTTCACGCTAGCAACAAGTTACCAGTAGAACACGTGAGTTCAAAATGGAAGCCTTTCAAACAGGTGAACTCATCTACGCTTCTGAGGATTGATGACGATGGTGAACCTTCGAAATTCGCCAATATTACCGATCGTTCAGCTATAGTTAGCAGTTGTGGTTGTTGGAACCTCTGTCTAATGTTCTGATTTCAGGACAAGGTGAGTGAACTCCGCGGCTGCTCGCTCGGAGGTGATTCTCTATCATAGGATCTGATGTGTTGCAGCAGTGCTGACGTTACATGAACGTATAAATCCGGTTTGTCCCTAAAGTCCCCTTCGATTTCTAGGACACGTGGTCACGGAAGTTTGTTTTGCAACGTCAATGGATTTCACTTGAACAGGAGGGGTTGCGACTGCGCTCGCACATACAAAGTACTCGATCGGGGAGAATGTTGGCGATCGGGTTGCTACCCACATCATCGTCTTACGAAAAAGGAGCCAATGCACTGCTCACATGAGCAATGCATTTACGGAGGACCAGCTAAATCCGAGGCTCTGTGTACAGCCTTGGATACGAAAATGAGGCCTAGAAACCCTGCACAAAAGGAATTAATCCGTTCTCTCTAAGCACGTTGCTTTGATTCCTTTGTTCGAATGCCAACAAACTTGGTATCTACCCTAATCGACATGGTCTTTGTAAAAAAAACTGTGGAACGACCCATCTGGCCCTAGTTGTCACAGTTACGTATTCCTACTTTTCTGTCATCTATCTGAGTCTCATAATCAGTCTTACACAGCGTTGATTTGTTTTCGTTTCGATAACTTAATTTTTACCACTAATCTTAATGTATCCAGTACGACAAATAGCCAGTGACGAGTGTTTCCCGAAATTGTGTGCATCAGCGACAACGGTTGATTTGTGTGTACAACCCTCGGGTTTCTTAATCGCGTGCACAATCATTCATTCAGAATACTGATCGTCTTGCAATCGATCAATATGTCCATCTCTCATTTCCGTACAAACAGTCACGTGTAACTGAATGGCAACGCGTACAGGGCCGCAGCACTGCGATTGGGGTTGTACTGCTGTAGTTGGTGGAATGGAATACCGTTTGATCTGGTGAACTGCGTCATCAAAAAACAAACACCATTCATAAGGTTACTGGATGCTCTTCGACAACCCAGTTACGGTTTTGCAGGTGGATGTTATCCCGAATTTCCATAAGCGTTATGTTCTGTTTGAACTCAAAGTTGTACGCAATTGGCGAAATGCTTACTCAACGGAATCATTCGTCTATGAACAAATGCTGCCTCATGCTTCACTTGGCACGGTATTCAAGGCAACCTAGTATATTTTCTTGACTACGTCTACCGGACGAGTCTCAAGAAGGGTAGAATCGGTCATGGACCACCTAAGGGGTCTCAGTAACGGTATAAGTAGTACGTTCCATCTAGACAACGTAATGCGATGCCTTCATTATTATGCCAACGGAAACGTGAGGCGGTCTTTGTGCAGCAAATTCAGCTGAAGAATATCACAAACAAGGGAGTGATCTAAACCCAATGTGCAAATAAGTGTATTTCACCGGACCAAACATTTATTGAAGCGTTTTCATTGGCACAACACTGTTTGTAGGATTGATCAAAACCATCTGAAACATTTATTGGAACGTTTAATCAGAGAAAAGATTGAATCTAGCAAGGTGACTTGGAACCCGAGGGCAGCAGGATGAAATTGTCTGCAAATCGACAGGAATTAAGCCATCCCAAGTTGCTTATTGGTCGTGTTGTTGACTGTGGCACCAACGTCTTCATCATACTCATTTTAGCCAATCGTAAGAAGTTTGGAAAGCGATTGGCTGAGTGAGACAATCACCACAAACATATGAACCGCCAGATTTGAAAAAAAATCATCGAAACCTAAGAAAACGAGGTGATGAGTTTTAAGGAAGACGGTTACCAGAACGCGGTTGCCGAATAAATGCTCTGGGTTTTGAGCCTGGTTAGTTAGTTTCATGTCTAGACGTAATACACTACTCATAGTCCAGAATCGGTTTCACCCTTCTTGGAACTCATCAGGTAGGTGCAATCTACGAGTTTCCGTCAACCTTATGTTTTACTTGAATTCGAATTGCACGAAATTAGCGAAATACACTAATTTGCCAACCAATTTGGTTTTGCGGGAGACTCAGCTGGAAACCAGCTGTTTTTAAGCGATTAGTTGTATGGATACAGTGTGGCCTAGAAACATGCTCAACGAAAACTGATCTGTCCACCACAAATTACCTAGTCACGCGCCACTAGGAATCCAAAGTAACATCATTCTGATCAAAATTTAGGTTTTCGACCGCAACCGCATCCGAACCATTCAGCTGCACTAAGAACAGTTCACTTCAAACTTGAATCATTGATCTTTCTACGTCATCTAAATGAGGAGTCCCAAGAGGGGCGGAACCGGTCGTGAGCCGTCAATAGTTTCCAGCCAACCTTGTGAGTAGCTTCCTTTATGGAAATATACTGCGATATCTCGAAAATCGTGCCAACTGAAACATGGGGCAGCCTGTGCGCAGCACATTTAGTCGTAGAATATCATAAACGAGAGATTAAGTTGAGTCTCTCGTGAAAAGCAAATTGACTTGCAAATGAGTGTATTTCTCGAAAACAATGCAATTTGGGTTCAAGTAGTTCATAAGGTTGACGGAAACTCGGGGACTGCGCCTGCTTGATGAGCCCAAAGAAGGGCGAAACCGGTCGTGGGCTGTCGAAGAGTAGTTTTCTTTATGAAAACAGCAGTTTAGTTCAAATTCACATCACTCTCGTTTGAACAGTCGTCCTCCTGTCCTGGAGCAATTATTCTAGTGAATCCTGATGAGCTCTAACAAGAGTCCAGTGTAGTCCTCCTGTCCTGGAGCAATTATTCTAGTGTATCCTGATGAGCTCTAACAAGAGTTCAGTGCAGTGGACTCGAGTTTTGCTCTTATTAGAGCTCATAAGCAGTGCATATCCAATGGCCGTGCCTGGGTGTAGATTCACCGGAATAAGTGCGCCAGGACAGAAGGACGTCTGTTAAAACGAGAGTGACGTGGATGTGAACAACACACATCCCATAAACCCCACAGCATGCAGTAACAGCAGTTCTATATGCGGAAAATGGCCCCTTAGTTAGGTCATTCAGTATGACAACCCTAGTGTTGTAACGTGGGTGGCCGTCTATTGGTTACGCCTGCACTGAACCTGCCAGACTACGCGATAAGGAGAAGACAGAGAACTCGGGACACGGTTGTATTGCCAGGACAAAACATACAGAGAGTCTGCGTAGATATATAGGATGACTAAATGGCCAAATATAGTCGTTCACTTGTTCGTTCTTTGCAGCCAATGGTGGTGTTCCGGTCGTGAACATTTTCAGGCCCACTCCACCGGTCTTATGTTGCTAAGCCGTGTTTGGTGAGCTCCGCCAACGCACCTGCCTTCCGGACATGTCGTACCGATGGTGACCTTGGGGATACGTCGCCCTCTGCACATGTACTTTATCCATGTCTGGGCGCGGCCTGGGTAACTATCAGGGCGATTCCAAATTCAGGGAAAGACAAAAATGGTCCAAAAATGTGTTAAATTCTCCTGCGTCACATAACCCTCAACTGGGAAGTAATGCAGGTTTCGAGTGTACTCCGGACGGGACTCTGACAAACTTCAGATGGGAGGAACCACGGGTCTGGCTCTCAAACATGCCCGGTCAGGTGCAGCATGTATAGTAGGCTGTAACAATTCAGAGGGATGTAGGTGACAGTTATGGCGGTCTTCGCGTGGTAACCTAGGCAATAGGCCAGATGGACTTTCGGAACAAACAAAACAATACAAAGTAAGCAGAGGACGGAAAAGGTTACCAGACTATTGAGGGGAATCAATTGAACAGATGCGGAAAACATGCCGAACAAGCGGAAGGACAAACTACAAAGGTAGGTAGGCAGACAGCAGGCACGTACCGTGCCACAAAACGTCACAGCTCCAAATTCGCGTTATATCGCGTAACGTTACCCCAGTACAGCAACCGGAAACAGAGACGGGCCAGCAGGAAATCACGCGCAGAGGAGAACGACCTTCGACACTTCTTGGGTAGAACCATCTGTCATACACGTGGCTAGATGTGTAGTCACCTGAAATCTGTCCAGGCACTACACGCTCAATTCCAGGCAAAGCCAACTTCCTTCTACAACCTATATCCAACCACAACGGTAACAAACATCAAAAGCGGTTAACAGAGAAACGTAGGGTCAGTAGCGAGGCGTGCGAGGAGTAGTATGAACCAAAAATCGGAGAGTTCTTATTGGACAGAAAGCGGTAGCAGGAACAACCGCGTTACATAAGTAACAGCGGGAATTCAGACTACTTCGCGATAGTGTCCTGATATGGTGCAAAGTTAGAACATTTTGACTTCTGTAAGGAATCTACATATACTGTTCTTCCGGGAAAATGCCGTCAAACTATAGGACCGCAGGGTAAAAAAACCTCCAATTCGGACCCTTTTCGAGCTACGTGAGTTGCACACTGTTGTAGATTATCAAAAGGAATGAATCAAACTGACACACTTGAGGATGGGCCAAAGAGAAACCGGTGACCGGACGAATGATGGGTCAGCTGGTGATCCACTAGGCAGATGAATAGCGAATCACGTATGACATTCAGTACTACAAGGTTGCTCACGACCTTTTTGGGCGAGTAGTTTATTGTCTCTGTGATATCTGCTGATTCGTCAATCTGTTGTTTCTGACTGCTGGCCCCACTCGAGTGCCTAGTGCCGGAAAAAAAGACTCACAGAAGTGAGCACAACAGCTATATTCCGAACAAGCAAGTGAGTATTGAAGGGATACTGTCTGAATTTGGACCAATGTTGATGCACGCTGTCTGGCTTTGGTACGAGGCTGTGACGTTTTGCAGTCTCCATACAATGTATTGCAATACTAGCGCATAGTACCAGCTGAAACAAGAGATGACCTGGTGCAGGTTGAAAAGAGGCATCACAAACAAGAGATTCAGTTGGAATTCGGGTGAGTCTTCCATGAAAGCCAAATTGGTATGCAGATAACCGTATTTGTCGAAAAGGATATCGTGTCATTTTCACTCCACTAGGTTTTCCATCTCAGTGTTTTGTCGCTGTGAGTATCACCGTCTTCTCAGCTGAAACTGTGGAGATTTTCTTTGTTCTCTGAAAGCAGTAGGAATTACACAGCTCACTAGTTGGCTTACTAAAACTGGAGTAAGATGTCGATCCAGTTGTGTGTGGGTTGCTGGAGCGGGTGACACTTCTCCGGACGATCGACCGACTGGTCGGTCGATCGCTGTCACATTCCAAACTGTAGTAACTATCAAACAAGTGGGCTATTTTACAACGGAATGAGCAGACGCAGACGTTATCGAGTGACAGAGTGTGACGAGGTTAGTTTTGTACACATCTGCCTGGCAGAATGCCTTCATCAGTAGACTGTCCTACTTTTTACTGTGGAATGTCAGTAGTATTTTACATGGAGGCTTCGGCTTTCCCCATGATTAACAAAGTAAATGTTATCAACTCGTACACATCACGAAAGTTAACCAATAAATACAGAACCCTTCCTTGTTCGGGCACCTCCATGGGATCCCAGAATTGACCTTCACGACAGGTTTGACAGTGCGAAATGTATTGCATTCGTCAAGTCCCAACAAATGAAGCAGATTACAAATCTGACGAAAAGTGTGTTGTTTAAAAAGGCGTACATGACACTGGGAAGAAACGAACTTCTTGTTCGAGGACATAAAGAGACCTATCAGTCGAGCTAAAAAGGACAAGTATGGAGTGTTCACTGAAAGGAAATACGAGGTTGGAAAGTGTGCTTCATGAACCGCAATCGACATTTCCTACACTGAATGAGTGCTCAACGTCAACGACTTGAGTAGTTTCTGGCATACCATCCTTTAAAATACAAGCCGACGAACACAAGATTCACTATGCAGATGGGGTAATATTCCTCAGGAACACCGGGCCAACAATTTTGATATAAATTCTCAATGATAGAGTCTGATTGGGCACCTCAAAACAAAATTAGCTGTTTATTGAAACACACATAAAGCTCAACGAAATGAGTTTGACAGAGAACCGATACATTTTACGGTAATTTCCAGAGGTTGGGCTTCCACGTGAGCAGTCCGATTGAGACCCACAGTTTACGGAGTTTTAAAGTCAGCTGAATTTTTTTGTTGTTGAGAAGCTTCAGTTTACTAGGATAAGCTGAAAAAACTGCACCCAAGTCAGCGATGTGCATGACCTAGAAGGATTCAAATCAGAACCGTCCTAATTACGGTTATTCATTAAGTGCTGGCGGTCTGTATTAGCCTGTAGTTCATCAGCTCTAATTGTGCGACCTTGTGGTGCTTGCCAAATGTCGCGCACACACTGATAGCCAAACTCAGCCCTAATGTGTGTGTGTGTGTGTGTGTGTGTGAATGTGAATGTATCGATACTACTTGACATGTCTTCTCATCCAACCGTGCATGCTTTGTGGATATCACGACGATTCATTATATTTCGGAGAAGATCAGCAACGAAGCGTTTTTCTGCCTTCTAAATTTCTTACAAAAGCTGTTTCGACATACTTAGTGCTAATGACTGTTCACCCTTTCCGCTGATTTGAATCAATTTGCTGTTATCTGCGAACACCCTGCGCGAAGCCAACTCAAGTTAAACTGTCCGATGCACACGCTGGACTTTTCCAGGCGAGCTAACCTGACATCTGTCAACTCCTGCCATATTTCTGCTTACAACCGTTTCACATCCATAAAGCCCACTGATCTTTGAACTTCATTCAATCCACTGTCAGGCTCACCATAGCTAGCTGCATCGTACACACTAGTTGTCGTGATGCAGCGGCTCAAACTTGCACGCCACACGTACTGCCCCCTCACTCGCGTGTCTACCCGCTATGGCTGTGACGTCACTGCACGTTCAGGACCTCAGTATCCCGCCTAGTTTTCCAACCATCCATTCTGTACGTCGCACTCCGCATAAATGTGCTCACGTACTCATCATCGCATGGGAAACGACAGGCATCGCCCTGCACTCTTTGAGAAATTTCCGATGTGCAGTCGATGATCTACTGCTCCGCCACTGCCACCAACCCTGAATCAGTGAAAAACTGTCCTTTCAAATCCTTTTGAAAGATACGAAAGCAGTCAGGTAGGGTGAGGTCGGGTTGGTAAGGTGGGTGATCTGTGTAATCAAAATCTAACTCCATCAAAAGATCAATAATTTTTATCAGCTTCATAGGAAGTGCGTTGTATTCGAAGACTTTCTTGGTTTTTCATTCGGGTTTCTTCTTTAATCCCAAAAACAGGTCATCATAATATCATGTGTTGACTGCTTGACTCTTTGGAAGATGGTGTCGTTGTGTCATCTTGCTGTTCCTCCCATGCTTTGTCCTTTCGCATAGATTTTTGAGTCTGAATCGCTTTGACTTTGAAGTACCCGAATACATCCATTAGATGAACTGTTATTCAGACTCGAGGTCATCAACAGTAAGCAGTTCTTCCCAAAATTTGGCATTATCCCGCTGGAAAGGCTGAAAAACTGGATTAGAAGTGTTCTCGTTTCCCTTCAGCATTCAAACATTTGAGCATCCTCACAGCTGACAGTTTTTCTTTGCTAAGCTGCTCATGGATTATGAACCCAGCAAGCCCCCTGGATATCTGTAATATTTTTTCATTGATTTTTGACGACCTACAAGAATCCTGTCACGAATCAGGTCAATCATGTCTAAGTTAACGCTGCCCGAAGTTGTCCCGACCGTGCTGGTCCTCCGTTCGAAAATCACCCCGCTCAAATTTACCACTCGAGTATGACGGAAGCTTGTTACTGAGCCTCTGCTTCATGAACTAATGAATTTCTCATGTTGAATTTTTCTGCGGCAATTGGATTTTGATAAATTCGCAGAGTTCACATACGAGAATTCCTAACATTTTTTGACGTGCCTAATTCTGTGACTGAAAACCAAGTAAGAATGATCTCATGTTGAATTTTTCTGCGGCAATTGGATTTTGATAAATTCGCAGAGTTCACATACGAGAATTCCTAACATTTTTTGACGTGCTTAATTCTGTGACTGAAAACCAAGTAAAATCAGAATGATACAGTTGTGTGATTTAGCATATGAGATTGTAGCCGAACACTAATTTCAATTACAGCTGTCAATTGACTACCAGGTTGAAAGACCTACGTCAGACGGAGAAATGTTCAGCTTCCCTTTATACACTAGTGGACCCCAAGTAGGACGGACGAGGCCACATGCGTTTCGCACTGAGTCAGTGGGATGCAATTTGGTCGGTGTAAACCAGACAGAAGATGGCCAGATGGGCAGTTCTAAGGTCATCAGGATGTCCAGCTTTAGACTCGTAATTGTCAGGCCAGTCGGAGGTACAAATAGAGATGAAAGATAAGTTAACAGACCGCCAACCAAAATCAAGGACATGGAGCGGCGAACCAATTCAGGCTCCCATAATTTAAGTCGGTTTTACTTATCCGGACAGCGAGGGCTATCTGAAACCGATATCCTGTCAACACAGGCACATACACACACGCGTATCGTAATCCGGTCAGCTGGGTCTTGGGACGACCCCAAGAAGCCGGCCCTTGAGAGTTTGGATCGGCTCCAAGCGTGAGCATTGTTCACCAGGTGACCCGTTCCAGGCTTTGTCGTGTGCCTCAGGCATCTGCGGTTTCAGGAGTTGTTTCTTCTATGAAGAGCTGTTTTGGGCCATATCATCTACCGTTTTCAGTGACCCTGGTGTACTCTTAGCCAGTTTCAGTGGAATCCAGTAAGGCTAACGGTGAATGCTCAACCTGAGATTTCACAAAGTATCACAGGTAAATGATAAAAAACACTTCCAGATACGTTAAAAACTGTCCTGAACTACCATCAGTGAACACTTCACAAAAATAGGCGAGACGCGATTTCATCACATTTGGCAGTGGGGCTAAATGGAAAACGCCCCCACTTAACAGTCCACTCAGAGTGCTGTATTTACGCACTAGTTTATCAGCTCCCGCCTTCAATGCGCAACTATCTCCCCGACCTCCCCGAGTCATTAGTGAACGAAACTGTGACAGCTACAACCACCGTATGACAATTGCGCGGTTATTACAGCTGACAATGATGATGTGATGATAGCTGACAATGATGATGATGATGATAATAATGGAAAACCAGTCAATCGTGACTGCGCAATACTTTCTGTAGGCGTAAATTTTCACCTGGAACCAATGCATAAGGTAGACTTGGCTTTGGCGATTAGATGGTGAAGAAAGTGAAGAAAGTCGGAATAGGTCCCCAGATGAATAAGCAAAAAATTATCAAAATGTTTGATTTCTAGGAAGCCAACAAAGAATTCATCTACAGTAAGGCAGTTAGTCTCATTAAAAGGACAACAGATTGGTAAATTCGGTGAGGGATAACATAGGTAGTGCTAAATCTGTGAACAAGATTGAGTTGGGCGAAAACACCGTAGGTTTCGTGCTTATGCACGGCGTCCAGAAAGGACGCTGTTCCACAAACAACTCGGTACTGATGATGATGTGGTGGACTCATGGAATGGCCGAAAATGTCCACAGTGGCAAGTTAGTAATAGAACATTTCAAGTTCTAGACCACTGAACCAAATTTAGAGTGTTTACAGTTCGATAGGGTGCTACGCAGAACAAATCCAAAGGACGAAATAATTCTGAGTCTGAAAAACTTTCACAGACAGTTACTAGTATGCTTCAACAAGAAGACAAAACTCTCGACTGGTCCTGGTAGACGTAAACTTGAGTGGAGAAAGTGAAGGCGCGAGAGCACAAGGGTGCACAACTGTAGTTTGTTCAAACAAAAAAGAACCTAAAGCGAGGAATGCTGGAGTGCACAGAAAAGCAAATAAGGATGGAAACGGTTGTACCGTAAGTCTGGAAAGCCAGACACTTGACCAATGAACAAAGCTTGGATGTGAGGGGCCAAATGAGGCCGCCTGAGAGAACCATACTCAGATGTTTGACAATAATTCTGGTTTTTGTATCCCGCGATGAACTGAAGGGATGATCTGTGTCTATTGTAGGGAGGAACTTACGCCATGCACTTTGATATGTAGGCTTTACCTTAGCACCTTTCCAACAGTGGAAACATTTTCAATGGAAAAGCTATTCTTGATGGAGACTTTTTAGCTGTCCGTGCTCACTGGGAATCATCGGCAGTGCACATCTCACGAAGTCCAAGCAGCCCCGAACCCGCGACCTCCCGCCAGTAGGTTGAAAAATTAACCGTTCTACCAGGAGTGGCAGTTAGTAAACAAGCAGATGTTAAGATATTATCACAGTCCTTGAGTAGTAATAGCAGTGAATGGTTGGGAGCGCATGCCTTCCAGGCTTAGCTTACCCCATAGTCCTATACATTTCTACCGGTATATGTGGCTTGACAATACTGTCATTGGTGGAGGTGAATGTAATGTACAGGTTTGACAGACTTACAGATTCTTGGTTAATTTTGTGCAGATCAGAGTAAGAAGGATACAAATTTGGTCACGCACCAAACAGCTGATCCAAGATCTGGTAGATGTAATCATTCAGAACCCCAGTGACACATCTTTTGGGGGCAGTCTTGTTTCGAGTTTAGTTGTTTGAGTGAGGTCACTCACCTCTGCACTACTTCCCACTGTTCAGGAGTACTGCCTCCTACTCAGTAGCTGCTTGAGCAGTGAAGAAGAGAAGTAGTTAAGGCTGATGTAGACAGTCTCAACAAAGCGACATGGGTCAAGGCAAGGGCTGAAATAGTTAACCAGGTGTGGATAACATGCTAAAGCATCAGGATCATACAAATGGAGACATCGGTGGTGGGAACCACGTGTTTCAGTTGCCATCTGTTAAACGGTAGCTTGCTATCAGCTTGTGTGAAGTTTCCGTCAAACTGACCCTATGGTTCTCCTCGGAGTGTGCCTTGAGGAGACTGGTCAGAGTAGGCACAGGACCGCGTCTATGACCCAAGAAGATGTTGATATTGTTCGATCAACACAGTGCTTTTTTGGGCCGCTAGTCGTGTGGGGAGATGTTCACCACAGATATCAGGGAACAACTATCAAACCTAGTCCATTCTGAACGAAACGGGTTCCTCGCCAAATACATGAATCTGCATATGAATTTAGTTTCCAAAATAGCCTCAGTTGAATCCCTCATCTGTGATATCCTTCAAATGAATGTAGTGAACAAAGGCTGCCTAATGTTCCAGTTTTGACGATTTTAGAGATGTTGCAGCATTTACAGTTATCGTGTATGTGGGATCCCCAATTGGTTATGAGGATGTGCGCGCACTCTTGCGTGCATAAACACAGACTGTTCGGTTCGGTTTTTGTAGGTTTATGTCTGAAAGGGCAGGTAGAGTGGGCTCGTACAAAAGGAGGCGCCACATGTACTCAGCGCTGTGTGCTTCAGGAATAGGCACACCCTTTTCACTGTTAGAAAAAACACCAGTGCATTGTTGGACTTGCCATTAATGTTAGTGAGAGACACGTGCATAGTGGAATCACACCATAGGTGTGGCTCAAACTAGAGTCACACCAGGGAACAACCGTCAGGCCTACTCAAGTCACATTTGGTCTTTTACATGAGGAGCGTTTCCTTTTTGCTAAGATGCATAAGTGTGGAAGGAAACTGGCCCTTGCGAAGGGACGGTACTTGTCTATGAATAAGGGCTTACGAAGGGTCACAACCACTAACTTGAATATGTCAATTCTCCGCGGAAGGTGCTCGCTTTTGTGTTCCAATTTGTTTGACGATGCACACACGAGAAATTCTCCTCACCTATTTTTGTACGTTAAAGAAATGATAGACAAACGAAATGCGTATGGTTGTTTGCTTCTTTCCTTGAAGGATCTAACCGGCTTCAGTGAAGCAATTAGGTCTACTGAGTGGTCGCTGAGTGGGGAGACCAGTTGAGTGAAGGATGTCTCGTTATTGATTCACCTGAAGCAGATCGATCGGATCAAATTGCGTAAGCTCACTGAATCTGCAGTTCACTCGAACACATGCTGCAGTTAATCGGCTGTGTAACTCTACCTTTCAACTAGAGATTTATACATTAGTATCAAACTTCTCTGTTGTCACACTGGTTTAAAGGAGAAACTGTTTGGCGGAAAAATTCAACTGTGAATCTGAAGCTGTTGACTAAATCTACTCCAATGCTTGAGGCCATTTGTTTCGATTCAAACAACATTATATCCTACTTGATTATCCTATTCGCTCAGTGTTTATCCACTGAGGGTACCTGCAACCACATGCCTTTCTATGAATATTCCACCGTCTATTCTGCAGTGCCCAACACAGACAGGAATGACAAACGCATATGGATTGACGATGAATCGAAGGCATCGGAAATGGTATACTGGCGTGTGAAACGTGACTCCAAGGTGGAATACGTGAAGATACACAATGTTCAGACAAACACGGTCCAGCTGGAATGCATGCTAGAACCTCCACCACAGGCATTCTGCTGCTTGGACAACATTCATGAGAACGAGATCGCCATGCTGGCGGAATGCAGTCAGAAAGTGTTCAAAAGTATGATCACCGAAAATGACTATAGGTTGGCGTATGTGAACAGTGGAGGGATAAGTTGGAAACACTTGGTTGTGACAATATACCTGAGAACACCACAAGGTATGAGGCGATATTTTTTCGGATGGCCTCATTATATGAAGAGATTAGTCTGCTCAGAAATCGCTTCCATGGGAAACTTCGTCAGTCCTCGTCGGTTAGAATGGTTCTTCAGTGGAAGCGAACAACACAAGTTGACCTATGCACAGTTTTACGCAGCCCAAGGAAGAGTACTCGCTGGTGAGACTATCATGCTCTCGATCACTGCTTTTCTCAGACCTGGAGATAGCCTACACGCTTATGTGGTTAGTTTTAACGAAGACCATGGTTCATTCTCACTGACTGCTTTGCAAGGGATTGCAGAACGCCCTGTCCAATCTGATGTCTACCAGTTTACGGAAAGTGTTCAACTTATGCCCGATTACACAACTATGGTCCGACAAAAACAGTTCGGCCACAAGCTTCGACTTGAAGATCGAGCCGTACTAGTACTGGCTGGTCGTGTCGGATCTCGAGAAGAGAAAATTCTCTATGACTTATTCCACAATTGGATAGTCAAGAGAAAACCGGTAGAATTTGTGTGGTCCGAATTTCATTCTCCTGGAATTAGAATTCTTCCAGTGATGACTGCCGAATATTCGGTCGCCACACCGGGAAGAACAATAAAAATTAGTGTTTCGGTAGAACAGCTGGATAATATAATTTGTTCTCGGTATGATAAGAAATCAGGCACATACGTGGTTACAAAACGTCTCACTGCATCGTCGGAAATTTTTCGAATATCTATGCCTTCTGTTATTCCCTCAGACACTGGCATCTATCAGTGCGGCCTTGGAGAATCTATTGGATCTTCAGCTAGCGTATGGGAGGAATTTGAAGAGGTTAGTTATGACGAAGACAAGGTAACAGATGCAGGTGGGAAACAATCGCCAAAAGTTCTTGACCATCAGATTGTGATTGTCTTACCAGAGCAGAGGCAATTAAGTATCGGTGTGGAATGGCGGATCGCAGTTCCAGAGGATAACTGGGCACCAGATGAAGAGGATCCAGTTCATGAACGGGATATTTTTGTGTTCACAGAAAAAAATCCTCCATTCATTGTGTGTGCCGTCACCCTATCCGCGTATTACGACAACTTTGAGGGTCTGACGGCGACTGACAGAGTGGTAAATCTTCCAGTTGCAAGCAAGCTGACCATGGTTGACTCTCAAATACAACAGTTACCAGATGATAAAGCTCGCATTGTCAGAGCGTACACCATCGATTCGCACATCTTCGGGGATTCGCCCAATCTACATCGAGCCAGTTGTGTATACCAATACACGCCATCCATTGGACTTGCTCGGACAGATTATTTCACTGACCCTGATAAGCGCACACTAACAGCAAATCTGTCGTTCTATTATGTTCGCGCGTTTGAACCGGACATTTTCGGTATGACCATCAATACATCTAGCCCTGGGGTGACTTCGGCCTTGCGCCAGTTCAAGTTGATGCTCAATAGGACCTACAACACGCTTGACTTCCCAAGTGTTTCAACACGTATTTCAGGAGAACTGAGTGGCGCATTTCAAGCAGTTGGTCGTGATTCTGTTGACAAGATATTCATATGGACAGCTTCAGGCATAGGGTCGGATCTGGTGGAACTATGTAAGTGGACTAAAACAAAACTGACGTCAGATGTTCCAAAAACTCAACTGTCAAACGTGACTACGCACGGTGAATATATGAATTTATGGCATTACCAATTCGTCTGCCAAATACGTGAGACAGCCGGATGTGTGGTGCTTAGTGCTATCGACACGGATAGAAAGGTCATGGGTTCGGAACTTATAAAGATAGCAGAAGTTTTACGTCCTGTTCTTTGTAATTTGACTGGCAATACTCAGTTGATGGAGCTTCCACGGTTGAATCTACCCACACAGATCCATCGACTCGTTGTTCTCAATTCGGAGGTCACGAAACGTCCAGAAGTTGATGGGGTTAGGCCAGTATTGGATAGCAGTTGGATTACAGCGGACGAACCTAGGCTGTTGGACAGGTTCATTCATTCCGGTCAGCGAACATGGCGTGCGGTGGATTTCCATAGGTCAGGATCTGTGACCCGATTGCTAGAGGATACCTACGGATTTGATTTGCATGCTCAAGTGGAGTCTTCAAACGCATCCTTCAAAATCTGGGCTGCTTACAAATCCAAAGAAGGTATTTCTGTCTGGGAATGTGATGCGTCGCCAACAGAAGTGATGGTGACCAATTCTAGTTCAAGCCACCCGTTCCTACTCAACACATCGTTTAGCTGTGCACTCCAAGCGGAATATCAAGCATTGATTTTTCTTGCAATCAATGAGCATGTTCCTAAAATAGAGAGGAAGGTGGAAATGGTTTTGATAAATGAATTGTCGAGAATGATTTCCTATTGGTTAGCGAACCCTAATAGTACAGTCGCCATTGGTGTAGAGGAGTACATCCCTGTGCATTTCACCTATCTCATACAAAAACTGAACTTGGGCTGGCATGGTATCGTACCTGAGAGTACTGAATGGTCTATACTTTTGTCTGGGACCAGAAACTTGGAAGAAACATGGCTTCGGTGTTGGCATTTTCAGTTAAATATGTCTGTGATGACCACACAAACGTTTGATTGTGGACAAGCAGTAGCAAGTTTAAATTCCACTTCGGCTAAGCCTGGAGATTCTGGTGTGTATAAGTGTATTAGGGGGCAGTGTGGTCCAACCAATACAACAACAGTTGCACTGGAATCGCGACTTCTACTGGTATACCCTACTGTTGAACGAGTGTACACCTACTTCGCATACGTTAATAAGACGTTAGATGAACTTGTCAGTGGTGCTGAGCAAAAAGAACGCCCCAGATTGGCAGGGAGACAACCAGGCTTTATATATTGCATGCATGCTTCACCCAAGGGATACATACCTCTGAACAGAGTTAACTTGCGTCTGATGGCCAAATGTGATGGGAAACTGGAAAGTGATGAACTACTGCCATTCCACCGGGTATCTTATAAATCATACCAGAAAGAACATGGACTTTTTGATTTGGCGCAATATGATATCACGCAACATCGATTTAAGAACGGATGTAACTTGGTAATTGCAAGATGTTTTCTACAGTTTCGTGATGAGCTGGTTACGGAGTACAACATGAACGGTATCCCAGCAGAGACAATGTCATCATCGTTATTGGTAGAAGTGGACAATTTTTCGAATCCTGTGATTTTTCGTGAATGGATAAACACGGAAGATTCGAACTTGAGGCGAGCGATCAGTATGGCCACATTGGATCCTCTGTCCTATCTCCAGATTCAGGATGCTGTAGAGTTCCATTTTCACGAAGCTAAGCAGCATACTCTGGACTTTTACGTGTCTCCTCGTAACACTGCTCTGGCTGTTCATCTTTATTTTAACGATGGCGACTCGCTGCTTTTAACCACATGTGTTTCAGTCTCTCGGCAGATGGTAACTCGGGAGTCTGCTCCGCAGGATATGATAGGCCATTACGAAAAGCTACAGGAGGCGATTGACAAACAGCTGTTGTTGGTACGATTCAAATGTCATATCAAACCAGAACATGTTGGACTGAGTATCATTATTCACACGGACGCAAAACATATGGGAGAGGTTGAAGAGACAATCCACCATTTGGTTCAGTATCGGGACAGGCATACTGCCAAGATGATTCATGGATGGGGCTCGCGGCATTTGTACTTGAATCTTGTGTATCAAGTGCCGAAGCCGCCACCGAATCCAAAAGAACGCATACCGCTATCTGCCTCGGTTTTGTTCAATGATGACCCAGAAGTTCCCGAAGTTCCCATGACAGATGAGGAAGTAAACTGTGGCTGATTGTGATAGGTTTAAATTGATTCATCCGGATAATGAAAGTTTTCAAGCACATAAAACAATCGTGTTGTACCATGCTAGTGCACGTCAAGTCGTTAGTTGTTGACTGTTTGGGTTTCTGGAAAAACTGCACTCGGAATAGATTTGTTGAAGCGTAGGACTGGATTCTTTTGCATGTGAAATTCTCGGTGTGTCTGACCGTCGATGACAGTCATTTGTGAAGTTATTTGGTCGAAACGGTGAATCAATGAAATCCCAGATGAACATCCCGTTTATGATGTTCTTCAACTGAATGTGCTGCACACAGGCGCCTCATGTTTCGGTTGATACCCTCTTTGATTTAACGCAATAAATAGTCTTGAAAGAAGCTACTCATAACGCCTCTGAAAAATCGTCGACGTCTCACTGTGGGTTTCGCTGTTTTTGGGGTGCACCGGGTAGGCAAGTAGAACACAAGGCTGAAGAAAACTCGGGATCGCGCCAACCTGATGAACTGCAAGAATGGTGAAATCGGTCGTGGGTTGTCAGTGAGTTTCCAGTAACTTTATGAGTAGTGTTCCGTCAGGATACTATTCATGCACCGCGCGCAATTTAAGCATTAAATGGGTTTCTACGTGAATCAGTTTTATGGCCCCTTGATCTCAAAGTAACGTTCCTCAAGGCAAAAAGTCACTTTTCCAAGAAAATACAAGGAATCCCACTGGTAATGTGAAGTTGAGTGGAAACTTCAAGATTTTGAAAATGTGAAACACGTAAGAAACAAATATAAGACCACTGTGAGTTTTCGGGTTCTACAGTGGCTGATGCTCACACCTTGCAGAAAGAAATATTAACTGAACATGAAGATACTAGCCTTAAACAGTATCGAGTATTCGGATGACTGAGCTTCCCTGCTGAAATAGGGAGACACGAGCGAATAACCGGACACTCGTCATAAACGCGTATCACGGAGTGAAAATAATAGCCTAGGTGAGGAAGCTTCATAGTCGGAACTCGTCTTCATCTTAGTTAAAAGTGACATTCTGGTTGAAAAATTGACAAAAGTGATTTGCTTTTAGGCGATCCTGTTATCTAGAGGTTCGCCTTGGCCTCACACAGGAACTTGGCGATGGCTTTGACCGGCTTTCATGTTGCGGTTTCATTGCACCGATTACTCTGGTCGGTGTCCAAATTCTAGCCTGTGTTCGGATTCGCATGGTGCCCCTTGTTCAACCAGAACGCAAAGTGAGGAGCCTTTTCGATATCTCACCATCAGGTCAGTACTCAACTGGTGGTTAAAACAGGGACAAACAATGATTGATTACAAAACTGAAAACGCGGAAACATGGACAACTGGTTTTCAGTGAAACCCGAGTTGCATCGAATTGGATGTTGTGAGGTGCCCTAGAGCGTCGCTGGCCTAGTGAGTGGATCGATTCGTGTCACGTGACCAAGGCAGACCTGAAGACCGTACAAAGTTTGGTCGTTTTTACCACCAGTTCGATTGAACAAACGGACCAGAAGTTTGGAGAACCGGACACATTGGATAGTTGGTAATGTGTTGGAATATTCGTAGCTCGGGTGTATTGGTTGGTAATTGATCAGGTGGCTGTTGATCTGTTCGCCGAGCTTGGCAATTGATTTGCAAACGTTTCGTCACCATTCGAGGAGACATCTTCAGTGCGCTGAAGATAGTATCATTATGACACCATGATCAGTCAGTATTCCAACAAGCCGATGCGCATATTCGTGCATTTTAAAGCTCATAAGACATGCTAACCGTACAAAATAGGAAGGTTTCAGAATGTCCTGTGTCCAGTCCAAGTAGAAACCCTATCTTAGACCTCTGGGGGGAGATGAAAAAACAAACAGACACAAAAGCGGTAATGACAAAGAAGTTTCTATGAATGTTTTCGTTGTACTTCCTAAGAGTAGTTTCTTCTCCACCAAGAGTTCTAACCAGAAGACCAAATGAAACAGCGTTAGTCAAGATCTATTCGTCGATATCATTAAACTTGATTAGTAAGAGTATATAAATCCTAATCACGCCTTCTATCTGTCGTTATATTTTCGACTGTGTCCAGTATGCTAGGCGGTCCGGCGTTGACTTTGATCGTTCAGTCTCATAAACTAGTTGCAAATCTATCGAAGTAAATAGTCTAAAAGTACGCGTACTCATTTGCGTACCAAATCTGAGACACGTACTTGATCGTACTCATCATGGTTTCACCTCATGGTGTCAAACACTAAGTTCTCAGTCGCACCCAAAATTGGGTCCATCAGTCGATCGGTCCAACACAGGTCACTCACTGCATGCTTTCTCACCGTGCTGCCGAAATTCACATTCTCATGCAAGGTCACGACCCGACAAGATACCAGGTGGACAAGTATGGTCATGCACTGTCAGGTCTTTCGATCAGTAGCACGAAGTGAGTTGGGGTCTTTAGTGAGCCATTGTTAGCCGCAGCGCCACCTTGCACAAGTGTTGTGTTTCCATATTATCCTTCAGTGCTCATTTGTTCACTGCAGCCTACGCAGCCTTCAACCTACCTTCCGTCTTGATGTTGGGTACCAAAAACTAAACGATTGTTACAACAAAGCGCGAGCGCAGTAGATTGAATAATGTGATGACCAAGTCAGAACATCTTTCATGATAGGTTTTGTGTCCACACAACACCACATGAGCTGGTTTTTTTTTGACGTCATGGCGATTTGGGCCGCTATGGAATCTTGGATGTTAATCCTATGGGTTTGTGCAATTCATTGAAGTTCTGTAAACAACCACTACCTATACAGAAGGCTTTAATTATAAAGTATGCGATAATAGTAATCGACTGATTTTTCGTGGTCTATGCATCACTAGACTTTTCTATCACCAAACGAATTAACCACGTGTAAATTAATCTCAGGTGAGGTTTTTTGGGAAGAAAATTTGCAATGCTATTAAGCGACGCCATCGTTTTGTCTTAGTGAGATCCGAAGCCGGATCGATGCGCAGTCATAACATTTCACTTTCATCTAAGTAATTTTCGATTTCTCATTGAAGCGAAAGCATAGAAAAATTCACGAAGAGTTCAACTAGACGAGTTATTCCGTCCATTTCAAGAATTATCAGGTGATCGTAGATGCAGTCCATCACCTAAACCTGTTCATGAGTGCTTCCCACAGGACAGGCGTCTGCAAGCCAATCCTGAACAGACTTGAGTCTTAACGAAGTACATTCATTGGCAAACAAATTTGATTCTGCGAGAGACCCACCTGGAGCCCAGCTGAATCGCTCGCTTATGATGTCTTTAAGCAACTGAATGTGCTGCATCAGGCCATCTTTAGGCGTGTTACATCATCTAACTCATTGGGCTTTCTGCTTATATGGGCGGATTAATTCTCCAAGCAGTTCCGCAGTGTGCATACCAAGCATGATTAGCCGATGAGGCGTGATTCTCGATTTAATCAGCTGTTGATTCAATTGGAACGACTAAAGGATAAGATTTATCTGACTAATCTCAGTCCACACAGAGGACAACAGATTTGAAAGTTAGGTTGGATGTTAGCTGAGGAGATGGGATCTGGTCCAAAAAAGCTCGGCTGTACGAGGTCATTTGTCCCCATCCGGCAGGTGCAGAGGGAAGCGCTGTGGAAACGTTGTACTTCTATCCTTCATCAGTTGGTCAGATCACTGGTGGCTGAGTTGTCCACTGAGCTTGTGTTGAAAACAGAGTAGGAGAATACCATGGATGAGCTTAGCGAAAACTACTTTGAGAATGATTGCATAAAATGCTTGTCTCTTCGTTGGAGAATGCATTTGCAGTTAGATCACCAAAGTAATCCAAATTCAGTTAAGGAAAGGTCTCAACCTTTGAGCTTCCACTGTCACTTTTTCTATACGTTTCGCTACGTGGAATATTTCAGCGCCCCCTTTCATAGAATGAGTGATCTCATCATGAGAAAAAAGTATACCCTGAAGGATAGAAGGACAGATGACGTTTTCCCCATCATGTTCTCATCGTATATAGCTTGTAGTTCACATACTGTCATTCCTGTTTCGGACGATAGCAGAGCAACATTTTGCCAAATTTCACAGAATACCTTATTTTCAGTGGGATACAAAGATCAGAGGACACCGACGTCTTTAACAAAGTTGTTTTTGGTTCGAGGAACCGGATGAAAGTGAACTGGAACGCAAAGCTTGGGAAGCAGGTCACAGAGTCTCAGACCGGTTGGGTATCTATAATGACCAACCGATCGACTGCCAGTTCAACGGTGTTTAGTGACTTAATCGCCTTTGCACTCAAATATGACTACCTTCGATTTGGTTGTATCGTGAATCGACTGACGAATCGTTTTTAGCCGATCTGTTGGAACTCACTGGATTCACATTCACACCACTCTCTTTCGAACAGTCGCACTCTTGATGAGCTCTAATAAGAGCGAAACTCGAATCTACTGCTTTGTCCTTGGTACGAACTCACCGGAATACTTGCACCAGGACACGAGGACGACTGTTCAAACGAGGGTGATGTGAATGTGAATCTAGCAAGGCCATCAAGTGATCTAGTATTTACCGTATATGCTTCCCTGAGGTCCGTATTTTCAATTAACTGATTGGTGATCAAAATTCGCTCTGATCTTTCTTTCACCACGCGTAAAATGTTAATACAAGGCTGCTTTATTCTTCATGAAAGGTTTCTGGTCTGGTGAACTGGATAAACACGCGAAAACCAACTGAAAAGTCATCTCGTACGGCATTTTCGTGACTGGTGTGCACGCACGTTCAACTCACCAGTTGGTTTATCCTAAAGTCAGGCTGTCATAGATCCCCATTTTTCTTGGGGATTGTCAGCCATTTTCCGGGTGTGTTACGTCACAATGCCAGCAATTCCTTTGCTGTGCTATTTGAATCGTGTGACTGACTGCCTACGTTTTTCAATCTTCATTCCTCCAACTGTCCAACGGCTCCATTTGTATTCCAAGGAAGCACCGAATTTCGTTCGTCATCATCTTGTTTTGTCAGTAACACTGCCAAAAATAGACCACTTTAGCCTAATTAGTTTTGTTGATGGAGATCGCGAGGCATATTATTTTTCCAATGGATGAACGATGGAATTTTCAGTGTCATGCTTCTGGGACATCCGCTGTCAAGGTGTTCCCTTTTCAATCTTCATCGGCGTTTAGTACCTCGTTTAAATTTTACGAGTCTTTTCTGACTATTGACCATTTTTTCGCGAGCAAGCCGACAAAATAGAACCAAAATAATAATCGTTCGGCTGTAATACTCTGCCTAGATGACATGCCACTGGAAGAAAACACGAGGACTGAGATATTGTAAGGTTGCCCAGACATAGACAGGAGCAATCGAGATGTAGGAATTGGGTTCGAACCATGGACCTTCCGGACACTGAACTATTTCGAGCTCTGAAGAAGAGGTGCGGAATTACAACTTATCCTCTAACCTAATTCTCAAAACTAGAGGGCTACGGATAAGTAATTCCAGCTCAACAAGATGCGATTTTTTTACGATGAGATGTAACTAAACGCTACAGTTCATTTCCTTTAGGTGGACAAAAGTGTCCCAATGAGTTTGTGTACCTAACTGCTCCCACGAGCTGAAAATCGTCTCTGGTATGGAGGCCCGACTGAGCCTAATATAACAGTTTGTTGCTGATAAAGTAAACAGGACGAAACAATAAAACGAGAGAGAAAAATGTAGTACTTTGGTCAGGTAGCGGACAATAAGACAAGGACCATTTTGTTGTGTTTGCATTAAGTGGGCTGTCCGAAAAGCAACATCAAATCGACACTTCCTCAATGAGTTTATGCCATTCACAGTTTTGATGATACATTAAAACCCAGTGCGTTTTCGTTACTGAGAAGGCTGGAGTCATTTGGGGGAAGAGGGAAACAATTACTTGTACAAACCTGTCCGTTGCATGTTATCGGCCATCAGCTTATCAGTTGTTAAAACAGAACTGTGGGCACGAAAATTCCGCGCCAAGCGGATAGTTGTTTTGAGGTGCCACATCTTTCGTGGAGTTTCAGCTGTTTGAACAGAAGAACCTTTGGCAACGTGAGAAAAAGGTCGGGCGGAAATGACAGACCCTAGAATGTGTTTACCACTCAACACGTGTTTGTGAACCGCACCTGGTCTGAACACGAACAGCCATTTCAGAAGTTTGGACAAGTGAATGCAATGGACCAAGCCTCCTGGTTTCGGCAGAGGCACATGAACATTGGTTGTTGAGCAGGTCAGTCGATAAATCGAGAAAAATTCTGAAAATTAATCATCGCTCAAAGTCAGTCCAGATGGGTGGGCAGTATGTAGAAGCGAGAAAGCCACTGAGCAGAGTAATTCAGGACTTACTGATGATGCTATCTCAAATGGTAGTGAAACGAGTTGCGGAGTTTCGCTAACGGACTTGATATAAGAATCTAATCCACTGGGACCTCGTGAGAGGGCCCACTATGCTTCTGATCGATTGCACATGAGGCCGATGTCTGCTAGCGGCAGTAATGAGGCAAGTAAAAAAATTGTTCCGATTGATTGTAAAGGAGGAAACTGTCAGTACTTGAGGTTTTTGATCGAACCAATGAGAATTTAATCTGTGAAGACATTCAACACGCATTTTTCACATTTGCTCACCGCGCGACCAGATTGCGCGGTAATCGCAGAAAGCCGGCAAAGTGGCTAAATGAGACCGTTTCTACGACTAACACAACAAAATGGCCTGAAAAGTCAAGCAAGAGTCTTGTTGATCAGGTTGGCGAGTGGTTGGATACAAAGGCCTGAAACTATTCGGTCAATGTGCTGATCAATTAGAACACACTCGGTTCACTAAACACCCGCTTAGCCGTGTGGTCTGGTTATTCGAGTGGCCCACCTCATGACACAAGGCTCCTCCGGAAAGTAAAACTAGCCGTTCTGATGAGTTCGACATGTCTCAACCCGCTGAAAAACAAGCTATGTACCAGGGAATGATTCATTTATAAGGTGACGCCCATCAAAACCGAGGCTGACTATTAAAACTGAACCAAAATGGAACCTTCTGCCAAAGCAACACATCGAAACTTCCTTGATAAAGACTCTGTTCAGTTCATGCAAGAGTTGAACAAATAGCTACTCAGTATGAAGCGCCCCCATAAATACTAAGATGAGAACGGAGCAGTCAAGCGCAAACGAACAGCAGCATACACAAAGAGGCAGTATCGATCAGGCCAAAAGCACATAGGTGAACCATCGATCATCCGTTCAACACTCCCTAAACCAACAAACCCAATGCAAGCATGCACCATAAACGGAACTCGGAAAGTGGAAATATGATGCTTTCAGTGGAAGGTATGAGCTAGGCATCCTACTTCGAACGATCACCAAGCTCCCCACCTGATAGACATATGGCAGGTAGGCGAACAATCGTGACATATCTGAATCGGAGGCATTTTCATTGAATCAGAACTTCGATTTCCAGCCGGTCTACTAGCTGATATGTGGTCTGCCAAAACCGAAATACCAGATTAAATATTTCATTCTAGGGGAAATTTGATTAGGTTGTGAGGGGGTGACGTTAGAAGTATGAAATCCATGTTTGTACACCGACAAACCAATGTGAACGCACAAATCGTAAAGACTGGGATTGCATTTGTCAGTTTATGCCACTTGCGGCGTCAAAAAGGCATCTTAATCGGTTTCAAAATCCACGTGAATCAGACTACAGTATGAGTTGTATTGTTGTAGGGCTAATCGACCTGGCCACTTGAGGTGGAGACACCTCAAGGTTTCTGACCACCGCCGTTTCAGAATTACAGCGGGAACTGGTAAATTCGCAATTTCTGAATTCTGAAATTTTTCTAAATCCCTTGGAAGAGACAGAGTGAACGGAACGGAATCACACTGAACAACCGAGGGAGCCATAGATCTTGGTTCTTCAAATGACCGCCAAATCATTCCCAAAAGTGAGTATTACCATGGAAATGCCCGGTATTTTTTCGGGTAATCACTCTGACTTAGATACGCATTCACAACGTCAGCTGTTGGAACACGACTCAGTAGCAACGTGGATGAAAGGTTACCAAGATATAAGTCAGGGTTGCTCAGAATTTATCGGATAATCCTGTCAGCATTATTATACAGTTAAAGTTTAACCAACTGTTGCAGAAAAGTTTCATCCATAATAACTTACCATCATTTCAGATTCACTCTACGCCTCATTTCTAAAACAATGCGGGAACTTTCGCATTCAGAAAAGGTGAATGGGAAACAGTCATTGAAGTGGTTTGGAGTACTCAAAAGTGTAATACAGTTCACGAAACCAACAACAAAGGACCCCTCCAATGGGGGTATTTTAGTATCTAATGCATCTGCTTCCTTCAAGAGACTAATATGGCACCAGGCTACGAGCGTGACCAGCTAGCATCGTGCATAACCTGTTGAACGCCCTCCGTGAAGTATGACCTTAGGCAGTCCGAATCCAGTGGTTAAAACTTGTGAGGAATAGAGTTAAATGGGTTGCATTTTTTTTTAACTCGCCTAGTAGGGTTCGAGACGTGACCTATTTATTCATCCTGAACGAAACTTGGTTACTTCACCGTGGTTTTGGGTTGCCACCTATCTGTCATTTTGCTTGATGCGTCTGCCTTCCGTTTGGTTTCCGTGAGTTTGATAAAACCATCACTTGATGAAGGCCTGTTTTTCACTGTACCTTCATTGACCGGCTACCATTTGTTGTTCCGAATATTGGTGAATTTGTATCTCATAATCAGTGGGGTGTTTTCAGTTCTCACGAAGCAGTTCAATGTGCGTTTCGCACTGATTACGGTCCATCCGGCGGATGTAGTAGGCTTCTCCACGTGACGCTGTCGTTGGCAGTTTCTGACACTGGAACTGCCATGCGGTTTTAAGTTAGCTGCTGTTTATCGGGGCTGTGGAATGAACCGGTAGGTCCGATAGGTTGTTTATGTTGAGCATAAGTTCTGTGGGCGATAGTGATGAATTTTTTGTGGTTTCATAGGACAGTTTTCAGGTATTTTACAATGCCTGCTGGAGGGTGGGTCGAGAGCTTTTCTCGCAAAGCGTAGCAAACCAGAATATCAAAACGTGACAGACTATTCATAAGGTTCTTGTAAGCTCTGCGAAAGTCCACAGCCGGTTTCTTCCTTCTTGGGGCTTATCGGTTAAGTGCATTATCTTAGTGTCCCTCAACCTAATGTTATGTTTTAACCTAAATACTCTCATTTGCACGAGAATTTGGCGTTAGAGAGTTCGGCGTCAACCGTCCCTCTACTAGAAGGGAATAGATTTGTCGCTGCACAGGACGCTAAAATGAAATACATATATCCATATTGATTTGTTCCTCATTAATTTAAACAACAATTTTGAATTTGGAAGCTGGTAGATGAAAGCATTCTATATTGGCTGGTTGGTACCAAATCACCGTTAACAAGGGAAGACAGCTTTTAAAGTCAGCGAAATGGGAGTTAGTCAGCTGAGTCTCCAGCAGGAACCAGAATGGTAGGCAGATGAGTGAATTTCTCAGATTTCGTGCCATTCGGGTTCACGTAGAACATAATTCTGACGGGAATTCAAGAAATACGCCCATCTGGTGATCCCCAAGGAGGGTCACACCGACCTTGGGCTGTCGCATGAGAATTTTCTTTCACAGGACGGGGCTCTACATCATCGTAATTCATTTTGGGAGCTGTCGGTAGACGTTCGGTTATTCCAGCAGTCGACTTACCCTCTATGAAGTGGAGCTCAATGAATACGGTTCTTTTGGTCACACTGTTACAACTAGGCGGTTTGAGTCACACTTCACAGCTTCGTTCAATCAACTCCTGCTCCAGGGTATTACTGGGTCCCCCTAGTTTAACTTCATTCGAATCTGGTGTGCGAATCCGGCGTGCCCATGAGAACAGAGTTTTGAAGGTGTTACACTTCCGTTTCAAAGGATTAAAGCATGACAAATGCGTTCACTACCCCGATCATATAGCATTTCTTTAAAGGTTATACTTAGCCGACCCGTCGGGTCCGCATGTCCAAATAAGAGAGGCATTCGTCAGTTTTATTCATAGCTGAGATTCAAGTAACCGTTTTATTGTGCTGTCGTAACAGCCTTGCTGTCATTTCAGCGGTGTTCTTGATGTATGGGAGTGTGATTCGTTTGCTTGCGTTTTTTGCCGTTGCATCGCTCGTATTTGGCTTCCTGGGTGGTCTCCAGGTGAAATTCCTTGTGTATCTATTTTTCTGAAACAATTTGTGTAGGCGTTTTTCTCCTTTGATCTTGGATTCTGTTGTGCTGCAATGTGTCTCGATCCGTTTAAAAAGTGTCCTAAATGCAGCTTCGCTTGTGGCATGGTTGCTGTGGTAGCTGAGGGTTTGGTCCGTGTGTGTCGCCTTTCTGTAGACTTTAGTTTGTAGCTGTCAGTTTGGTAATCTTGTGGCGAGGAGGTACAGAAACGCCAGTTTTCCGTTGGTTTCATCGGTTAGTACAGAAACGCCAGTTTTCCGTTGTTTTCATCGGTTGTGAAGTTGATGTCATCGAAAACGTTGTTTAGCAGTTGGCTTACTCGTTGCAGTTCGCTACTTTTGCTGATCACAAATGTGTTGTCCACGTAACGGATCCATATTTTAGGATTTATATCCGGAAACACAATTTGTTCCGATTTTCGCACCATTGCTTGCTATCAAACAAGACCAACGATTCACCATGATTCGCCGAAGAAGCCATCACTTTGCTGTTGTAACTGGCATCAATTATACCATCTTGTCAAACAACATTAGGCACTGGCTTTCCATTATCTGGGGCGGCCGGCGGCAATGGCATACAACCAAGATGAATGAATTGGTTCTCAGTTAGAAACGTGGGCACAAAACCTATGCAAACCACAGCGAACAATGAACGAACAGACCTGTCTGCGTGCTCACGAAGCTTCATTCGGACGAGTGACCTTCGAAATGACCTTCACTGTCGAAGGAATGGATTTCGAAATCATCACAGTGCATTGATCAGTCGTAGTACGAGCTGTGTGTTACAGCCTGTGTTTAGATGTTTCAGGTTTGTTGACAGGCAGACAAATACACTATGGTATCCGGGTGCCCCGTTTCAAATGAAGTTCAACTTAATCACTACACTGCCTCCGACCGAGTTTTCACTTCCGTACTGACGATGTCAGCTCGACTAGTGATGAAACGTTTGCAATCCAAATGCCAAGCTTGGCGAACAGACCAACAGTCAATCAGCTCACCCGAGCTACCCATATTCCACAACATTGCCAATTCACCAGTGTACATGGCTACCCCACAAAAACTTTGAATTCGTCTTATTACTGACTGCGTTTGTTAGTTGGCCTTTTGTAATGCAATCCTCAAATACAATCAGCATCCTCTGGAGCGACAACTCAAGGGTATTTGTTGTTTGCGTTGTGATTTCTGTTGAAAACTCATCGTTGCATTCACTCGGTGAATGGTACAACCACTGCAGAAACCGAGTACAGCGTTGTCCCTTAAAAGAGTGTTCTCCCAAGAAGAGCACAAAACGTCTCGCTCCAAGATTTTTGGCCTCTTGAGAAATTTGAGTTATAAAAGAGGGCCACTTAGGCTGGGAATTATTTTATGTTCATGTGGCCTTGTCCGTTCAGGATATGCACTCAAAAGCCGATCATTTGGATGTCAGTAACGTCATTTACGTCACTAAGCAGTGTCAGGATGCCCTTAGAGTGACTTTCACAATGCCACTACTGATGACGGGAGTCATACCCCCATGGGACTCATTGCAGGACGCTCTCGTGTGCACAGATGGGAATCAAACTACGACCAGTTAAGACATCCCTTAATAAAACAGCTGACATATTGTACATGCTTCGTTGTTGCAAATCCGAAATTAAACATGGTAGATGTTGTGTGGCTTTATTCAAACTGGCTTGAAACGTCAACTCAATCAGCAGTAGGTGAGATTTCTCTAAAAAGTGCGGCTTCTTTCAAGTTTACGGCTCACTGTGAGTACAGCCCTACTGAAAGAGGATGTCGATTAGAAGCATGGGTCTAAGTTGGGAGATAGGGTCAGCTTCGGGTACACTGGCCTTTCTAGATTGCATGACACATAAGGTCGTGCGAAAACTAAATACCACAGTGTACGAGAAGCCAACAGCCACTGAAGCAATTTTGAACTACTGGTCTACCCATCCGAGGTCGGTGTTCACCAGTATTACCTTATCAATGTTTACGCATCTTAGGGCCCCTGCACAGAAGAAGCTGATCGGGCAGCGGCCCAAACTGAAGCAAAGAACAAACTTCGGGGTAGTGGCTATCCGGCTAGGTTGATTAGGCGTTAATTGCGAAGGGTCTCGGTACTGTTTGCGGACCCAAGAGGGAATGGATTGGGACTGCTTTATTCCATATAAATCAGGGATATCGCAGGTAATTCGAAGAATTCTAAACAAGGCTAACATAAGAGTAGCTTTCAGATGGGAAACACCGCGCTGTGCACTGATGCAATTGAAGGATGGCTTCCCAGCAATCAGCGACTGTGTCTACAGAATTAAGTGTTTCGACTGCACTAAGGTCTACGTAGGACAGAAGGCCAGGGGACTGCACACCAGCATTGGAGCGCGTAGGAGAAAAATAATCAGGCCGGTGAGAAACGCCGGTGAATATCGAGCATTCCTGAAAGACTTGGCAATGGCAGAACGTGTACTAAATAGATTTAGAAAATGCTGGGTTCTCTAGGCAAGGACTACGGTCCAAGTTACCGAGACTGATGGCGGAGACGGTGGGAATCACCAAGCATCCCAGTATAGATAGGATAGAAGTTGAGCGCGTGAAGAACAGTTTTGGATCGGTCGAGCCGACACGTGTTGGTGTACGCTTACCAGAAGAAAGAGTCCTCAACGCCGAATTGCACTTAATCTCACCTCCACTCCTCCCATACAGACCAACGAAATCTACCAGTGGCACCCAAGGTGAATCATCAGTTGAGCCACCTTGAAGTGGAAGATTAAGGAGCGAAACTCGATCAAAACTAATTTGAATCTCCCCCAGCCCATCAACTGCAAGATGGAGCTGATCAGCCCCAAAATGCAATTGAATGCAAAACCTTTGCGGTTTGAATAAAACTTTTTGCACCGAAATGTTACATTCTGTTCGGTATGTGCCCAAACCAAAAACCATCCTAATCTACTTCCATATTTTTGCGGCTCACCAAATTTCATTGTTCACTGAAGCAATCATACCACTACTGGAAAAAGCCTGGTCGATTACTCTGCCACCACCACTGAGACCCCGGGATGCCTAGATGGGGCTCAAAAGTGTAGACTGGTCCTATGAACTCAATTGTCTGTCTGCTTTAGTCCAGCAGGGGCACGTCGTAGCTTTCGAAAATTCAATTTCATTGTGCGAATACTGAGCGCCCCGCAAGATTTAATCACACCAACCGACAAGAGCCTCCAATTGATCTGGTGCAATAATCTGAAGACATCTTACTGATTGGTTCTCCTGTTTTAAAACCTGGCTAACTTGGTGACCTACTCACTTAGCCTGATGAAGCTTGTGTTAAAAGCCAGATGTTGCCCAGTTTAAAACTACAGATTGTTTACCAAGCCCTTTTGAAACAAAATTTGCGTCATTTTGTACAGAGTTTGAGGTTTCACTTGACTAGATTGGTTCCTTCCTCCCCGCCTAAAAAGCTTGTATGAGCAACGACAAGGCAAATGTTGTAGAACTTATCGGAGAGACAGACCATCTCGCATTTGCTTTCGAGGAGAATGTTGGCAGCTCAGATGGCGTAGATGATGGTCGTTTTGTTCGCTGAGTTGGGCAATTCAATTGCAAAAGTTCCACAAACAATCGAAGCGACATCATCAGTGCGTTGCTGGGGCCAACCAGCGACCCATCGCTAAGCTCCACAACGCTCCTCAATTGGTAATGAAACGTTTGCACTCACTCCATTTGGCTGTTGCCTTAGTTTTACTGAAAAAGCGTCGCAGAAGTGTGGTCCAAAGGGTGCACCACAGACAGAGCACTTTTCCAAGTAAAGTGCGAGTTTGCTCGGTTTCGAGGAGGCGAGCGCGCCTCACTGCTCAGTTTCATCTGGCGAATTCAAAAGTTGAGTAGCTTAGTTTATGAATCACCCGCCCAGAATATTCCATTTGATTCCGACTGGGTGCCAAAAAGGTGGGACAATACTTCAACTATCAATCCATCCAAACTGACCTACCAGATTCAATACTGGGCTAGAAATGAGCCATTACTACTACTGGAGTATAAGTAGCATGATTCAGAATCAAAGTGCTTTTCTGCATCAGTTTGTAGGTGTTATGGATGCGTGTGCCTCCGCAAATTCCAGTAACCTACACAAATGACTAAGCCAGAGTAAAAAAAATAGTCATTTGTTCAATTTTTCTTGTCTTCCTCTGATTTCCTGCGGGATAAAGCCGTTGATTCCTCCACAGGTGGAAAATTGCAGGGAACTTCCCATTTTTTAAGTAAAGCGTTTGTCTACCACTTATAATCGAATCGGTTCAGATTTAAGTGCAGCAGCCATAAACAAGTGCGGACAACGGATATGACCTGGATTCATTAAAATACAATAATGTGTTACTTCCATGTGTGAAGGCTTGAAAGGAACACTTACCAAACTGCTGATATATATCTGCTTGCAAGTTTATCGGAATCAGAAGATGAATCTTACGAATAACTGAACCGGTAATAAGCTGTCAAAGAGTTTTCAGCGAACTTGTAAGTAGTGTAATGTTATGTCAAGAAAATAAACTTCAACAGCTCGAGAATTGTTCCAACTGAAGCACAAGGTAGGGTCCGTTGAAAAATATCACGTGCCACGGGTTCGGCTAGAATTCGCAAATGATTGCATTTCACCAGCTGCACACATTTTGACGTTTTATTGGAACATAAGGATGACGGAAACAGGGTGAAATGCTTACCTGATGAGCTCCGAGAATAGCGAAGTCAGGGAGGTATCAGTAACCTTACTAGTAGTGTGGCGTTTTGCGAAGAAACATTTTACATCTGTCTACTGACTGTTCTTCGCTCTCAT